CTGTATTCCATTCCTATTTTAATATGACATTCTATCATTTGAAAAATTCACATACAGAAACATAAGCTTTTTCGGTCAACTCCGTCTTCAAAAACAAACAAATAAAAACTTATGGGCCTTAAGCAGCTTCACAAAAGGATTAGATTGTATTTGTATTGCAAATGAGAAGGGAATACAGGCCTGATTCCCTCCACTCCATCCCAGTCGTTCCTTTGATGACAAATGTATAAAATGTGAATGATCCTCTGAGTCAGCACAAATTACACTCTTTGGAAACTGTACAAAAGACTAGATGAGGAGTTGTTTAGAGGAAAGCGAGCACTTAGTGAATCAAGCCAGTTATCTGTGAGGATTGCTGACCTTTCTGCTCATTGCATTTTGCACTCTTAATGGAAATTAATGTTTCGGGGGGGGGGGATATCTAATATAAATTATATGGATTACAACTGCACAGCATTCATCTTTTCACCTTTGTCTTCTCACTATGTCAAAGATGTTTTATCAGGAACTTCACTTATCAACAGGGTGTACAGAAAAGGAATAACATTCAGGGGACCAATTCAATACACAATAGCCCATCAGCCACTAGAAGCCGTACTGTAACAAATGATGGGCAGCTTAGGCTTTTGCCTGGAGTGCATTATTATTTCGTTACTTCATTTACACCCAGCCTCTCTCCTCAATGGGGACCCAAAGTAACTCACATTGTTGTCCTCTCCTCCATTTGTTCCTTGGTTAGGGAGAGAGTATGTGACTAGACCGAAGTGACCCAGCAAGCTTCCATGGCAGAGTGGGGGTCTGAACCCAGGTATCCCTGATCCTATTCCTACACTCTAACCACTGCGCCATGTTGGCTTTCATGGCCTCAATATAGTAACTAGAAGGCTGAACTAGGACCAATGTTCCCTCTAAGATGAGTTAGTGTGAGCTAGCTCAGTTTTTTAGCCTCTGGCTCACGCATTTTTGTCTTAGCTCAGGAAGGATGGCTCCAGAGCAAACTAATTTATGCAGTAGCCAAACTGCTTGCTCACAACTTTAATGCCAGTAGCTCACAAAGTAGAATTTTTGCTCACAAGACTCCACAGCTTAGAGGGAACCTTGACTAGGACCTGGGAGAACCAGGTTTAAATCCTCGTTGTGCCATAGAAATTTACTGTGTGACTTGGGCCAGTCAGTCAGTTCAACCTACTTCACAGGGTTTAATGCCAGTAGCTCACAAAGTAGAATTTTTGCTCACAAGACTCCACAGCTTAGAGGGAACCTTGACTAGGACCTGGGAAAACCAGGTTTAAATCCTCGCTGTGCCATAGAAATTTACTGTGTGACTTGGGCCAGTCAGTCAGTTCAACCTACCTCACAGGGTTATTGCAAAGATAAAATGGAGGAAGAGAGGATGATATAAACTGCTCTGAGTCCCCACAAAAAGGACATGTACGGCAAAAATAGTTATGATGAGGATATTTTGGACTCGTTAAATTATGTATCCTGTGAAATCTCTCAAATGTTGTGAATACTTTCTTTCAAGATTACACAACAGAGTAACTTTAAAGAAAGACAGCCTTGGAAATACTTCTTCTGGATCTGGATAAGCACTTTTTATTTTGAAACTCTCAGCAGTCCAAACGAAAGTTGCCATATAATATAAATACAAAAGTTTACATTGTTTTACAGCCAGCTACATGGTATGCAAGAACAGCAGCAACCCTCACAAGAGCAGTAGAACATTGGACTTGGCGAATAACTATGACTCCTTAGGGCATCAAACTATGTTCACATATGCAGGGTATATAGACGCTTGAAATTAAACTGAAATAGTGCAGAATGTCAGGTCTTCAGAGAGACAGATAAGTATTTGTTTTTGACTTTTCACAGGCACACATCAGTGTACTGCTTGTTTCCAGAATTAAATTAAGAAAAAAACACCAACCACACTTGACAATGGAAGAAATCTCCAATTTGTAGAAATCATTTTTTTAAAAAAATACTACTATCAAAAGGAATGAAACTATCAGTAGGAAGCGTAAAAACAAACAGAAATAATAGAAACAAATGTCAGTCAACATCATAGATTCAAAGAAATTCATGGAGTGTATCAGAGTATAAACAAGAAATACTAATATTAAGACTGGGATTCAAAAAGCCATACTAGGTCCATATGCCCAGGCATGTCTTAGACTGCTTTGTAAAGCAGAAGTCTTCCTCATCCCACATGCCAAACCACTTTTCACACTATGGAGAGTTTCAAAAGCAGCTTGTATTATGGTTAGGGAGTCTGCTTTTTACAAAGAAAAAGAAAATCAATTGGGTATACCTTAAGTAGCTTTTTTGGATCCCATCCTTCGATTACAACTCTTGGTAAGAAAAACCCTTATTATAAAAACACCTGCTCCAAACAGGGCATTCAAGAATGGTGCCCTAATTTTATGAAATGCAGCAATGTGTATTTACCACTGTTTAAAAATGAAAACCATTCACAAATCACAAGTGTATACCCAAGAGCAAACCTTGCTGATACATTCACAGTTGACTTTGATGCAGAACTTTCGGTCTCAGTTGTGCAGTAAGTTTATTCCTTGATTATGTACTGGAACGCAATTTTAGAAAGTAAAGGGCATACTTGTTAAGGAGAAACTACTATGGCTTATTCCCATGATGTATATGGCACTAAACCAGTATTCTCAGGCTTCTAATATGTTAAAAGGAGAAGTTTGACACAGCAGATATTATAAAGACATATGTTTCCTACTGTGGCATGTTATCCTGCCACCTTCTGGTTAAGCTTACTGTTCATATGCTATTTCAAGTACACAATAGCAAGATTCTGATTACAGTGCATAAGCTGGGTGTGTAAAATAGTTCTCAAATGCTGATTTTTCAAGGAGTTGTGGTTTAATATCTACTGTATTATAACCATATTTTACTTAGGTATGTAAGTAAACCGCAGCTGAGAGAAGAAACAAATTCTTTTATTATAATGATGTTCACTGAAGATCCTCCACATTTTATCATTAGAAACATTTCAACTGTTCCTTGTTTAGTATACAAGGAAAGCTACACACAGTTTCTTTGGGAAACATGTCAGAGGTATTTAAAGATTTTCAAAATATGTAATTGGTCAAATAATTATTACATACAAATCCCATGAAAAATAAGACCCAGATATGGAGTCTGAAAAGTGACGGGGGGGGGGGGGGGGGGAAGAGAACACTCTTCTACCTCCAAGCTGTTAAAAGGATGGAAATGGAAAAATACATGAGGTTCCATATAATTTGGTTTTAGGATTCAAAGACAGCTAAACCAAAATCTACAAGCTACTAACTTCTGGTGGTAACTCCCCTGAATTTTGTAAGTAAAATATGTTTTCCACAAGATCTAGTTGAGCTACTTTTAGAATTACAGTCCAAGATACATCAAGTAGGGACAACAGAAAAATTGCTCACCTTGTATACCTCTCCCTTACTGATAAATAGTAGGTTGCAGCCAAATGACCAGGAGAATAACTCCAGTCACTGAATCAGTCTTTCCAGCTCCCCGCACTACGTTCCATTAATGTCCCTCATGGGTTGTAGGTCAGAGAACTCTACAGAACAGCTTGACATTGACATGGGGGAAATCAACAAAAACCATTCTCATGTTGTACATGCCACATCATTCTACTTGCAGAGCATAACTTTGCATTTATCACAATGCACCCAGTTGGGGCAGGAGGAGTGGATAAATTCTGCTCTGTTAAGCTTCATTCCTTTGGTAGTGCTTTGAACCCTGCCCTCGCTTGTGATGATCACAGAAGCCATCACTTTTTGGCACACCAGATTCTAAAATTAGTAAAAGGGGGTAGCCATGATATACTTCCTCTTCCAACAATTTATTTTCATGAGAATCCAGCAACATGTTGCCTTGTAAGTAACTGTACAATGGAAAAGTAGGTTTTCATATTTGAATAAACATGAAAGTTTGCAATAAAGTTTGTATAATGGGTAATCAGAGCATTGGAGAAAAGCAGTTCTGACTGCTTCCTTGCCCACCTGAAAAGATCTGGCAGGATTCAATCAACCTCAAGTGGCCCTAACAAGGAATAGTTTTTAGTACTGAACATTACCCTTCATATTAAACATTCCAAGCATTATAAATATTCCTGCCATAGGATGAAAGATGCACTAGGCACAAACAGAAAAGCCACCCAATATTTCTTCAAAAATCTTGCATGTTGGATGCTTCCAGCAATATTTGAAAATAGCTGGCATCTCTAGCCCACAATATAACTACATCTGCACAACCCGCAAGGGAAGCAATCCTTACGGCTTAGGAGCTTTGCATCCTTTGAACAAGGCTTCCAACTGTAGAGGGCATAAGAACTGCCAAAATTAAGTTCAGCATATGGGAACTGAGCATACTCCTAACTAACCCAATAAAGTCAACGGGCTTAAAGGATCGTAACCATGGCAAGACTGTGAACTGAAATGTAAAACAAAAAGGACACTGTTACAAGCCAACAGGCACAAAGTGCCAGAGATGCACTTTTGTAAGGATAAAGTCATTGCACAAATGCTGACAATTCACTAACCTTCTTTCCTGAGGACATTACTTAGTTATACTCAGTTAAGTAATATTCAATTAGAAAGTTGTTTAAAGCAGCTGTAGTTGCAGAACAGATGTCAAAAGGTAGGATTTATGCCTGTTTGATAGACAACTGAGGTTATTTTGAATGGGTTATTTTCTAGGGGAGGGGGGAGAGATACCCAAATATAGCTAGTATGAGTAAGCAAAACCTGTCCTTCAGTGTAGCAGAGCATGTTTGTAAGAGTTAAAACCTACTTCCAACAGTCAAACATCACAAAAAGTAGAAGGTTCCACCTACATAGTCTTTCAGGAAATGCTTCACGATGAAGCAAGGAACAAAGCATAAGGGAATGCTTAAAACCCAAGGTATTCAGCTACCATCTCTCTTCTCTTATTTACGTCACAGCCTTGATAGCCACACTTGATTTTGATATGGGGAAAAATGAACCCTATGCATTCTCTAAATGCAGTGGCGTTTGGGTACTCTAGTTATTGTAGTTTTACATTAAATAGTGCAGGAACAAGCCATCAATAAAGCTTGTTCAGAGCTAGTGTAATGCTGAGTGGCTGAACACTTGATAACCTGCCCTTTAAGTACACACTGTTTCATTGGTTCTCAGGGATTTAAAGAGGCACGCCAAGCCTTCCGACATACCAAAAGCCTAGCATTCAGTTTGCTAGTAGATACTGTTGCCTTACTCAACAAGGCCATAATCCATAACACGAAAGTGTTTAAGTTCCATTGAAATCAATGGGATTTATGAGCACAAGTGTGCCCAAGAGAGAAAGAGATGTGATCAGTTTCAATTTCAGGTGGATCGTCTTAAGGCTGTGTTCCCACAGGGAGTAAATGCTCAGGGCTATTAAAACAATGTGCCTCTCCAGCACCAGGAATTCCAGACTCCAGTATTATTGAAACTGGAACTTCACTGAAAAGAAATCCCCCCATCTTTTTCTACCTGCCCCCCCCAACTGTGCAAATGAAGGCCACTTCCCCCCCCTGCAAAACCTAGGTCTCCCTGTCAGAGCCCCTGAGATAGTAAAATGGGCAGCTTAATGTGAATCATTCATTTTATTTTTAACTGCAAAACTGAGTTTCACATACAAGTGATCTATGAACCAGCTTCAAAACTGACACAAGCTCACTCGAAAGTGTAGCATGCCTTGCAAAAGGAACACGCATTATGACCCTCTGTACTCACAAAGAAGTCCTGAGGCCCACTGCACTGCATTAGGAAAGTTGAGACAACTGGAGAAAATGTTGAAATACGAGGCGTTTGAAGGCATTCCCTTGGGAGCAGCTTCTGATTATCGCATTGTCAAAGATACCATATGATAAGGCAGCATGATTGAGCATGATTGCCTACCACCAGCTTCCCATGTTGTCCACAGCTGCTTTTTCTTAATAGGAGAAAAACCTATCTCCCATTCTAAGAGTACATGGTCCACTGCAAGCTTTTGGTCTTCCTTCATCCTAGGGATAGCTGGTAGCACTACTATCCATTGAGCAAGTAGACTACCACTTCATAGGTAGCCATCATTATAGCTGTGTTTGGAATCTGTCTAACCAAATGTGTTGTTAGACCACGATACAAAGAGCCATAGCCTTCTTCTCGCACAAGCAAAGATAGCGTCTGGAAGAAAGACCTGTATTTTGTTCCTTCTTCTCGTAGCCTTGTTCGAACAACCTCTGCATAAAAAAATAAATAAAAAAGTTTATTTTGATAACAGCTTTCCAAATGCATAACATAAATAAATGAAAGGGAAACAATATTCAGCTACCACAATATATTTTAAAATGATATTCACATGTTTTTGGTAGAATAAGCATAACTCCCAATTACTTTTCAATTTTATTCAGGCATTTTTAAGCCATGACTGACAACATTATTCAAAGCAACATAAACAGGCAATAGCAGTATACAAACAAGCTTCAAAGAACAGTAAGACAATTTTGAAGGCTTTGTGTATTCTACTGTCAACAATAAGAAAAGAAGCCATGGAACTTTATTTCTATATATACAGCAACAAGAACATTATACGCACAGAACTGGAAGTATCTGACAACACCTACAACAGAAGAATGCTTGGGAAAGATGCTGGACCTTGCAACAATGGCTAAACTTACTGCATTGGTTAGGGAGAAGACAATTAGTTCATTTATTACAGACTGGAAACCCCTTATAGACTTTTTGCAGGAAAAAGACGATAATGAGTTGATGATTTGTGGTTTTGATGATTAAGATACAAAAAAAGAATTTTTCATTCTATATAAAGAGCAAGGAAAAAACTTTGTAATCAAACTTATATTTGTTGTAGAAACAATCGGAAGCCTTCTTCTATTTTATGTATGTTCTTTTTTTCTTTCATTTTCGCAATAAAAACTAAAATTGACAACCAAAAACAATAAGGAATGACTTTAAAAACAGCTTTAAAAACAGAAAAGATGGTGACAGGCCACTTCTCCCAAACAAACATTATTTACAACATGGAGGTCACTGCTCTACCTCACATTCCTTCCATTCTCTCACCTACGTGACAGATAAGACATCTTGTCCTTCTGATGTGAGAGAATACCAAGGACTGTACACATAGCACAAATTAATGTATACAGAGCCACAAACTAGCACTTGTTCATCAAATATGACCACCTCTTTCAGCCTGACAGGCACCACCTCTTCCCTTCAATCATGCATTCAACCATGGAAATCGCCAGATGGACTAGCTGGAACTGAGAGCATTTACAATCAATAGACTGTAGGGATCAAGCAGGCAAGAGGCTGGCCTCAGGTGATCTTGTTATCCAGGAAGGTAGATGAGGATCAAAAATGATCAAAACTTGACAAGCTGATACTTTAAACATACTTCTCTTGAACTACAGAAACCGGAGTCCAAGTTGGAGCACATGCAAGTGATTTTTGCCTTGCAGCGCCTCATATTATTCACAATGGGATATTATTGTTCTCCTTCTTGGGAGGAGGGTCAAGGACAGAACAGCTCCTTTGCTATTCAAAACAACTCTACAGTTTAATACTAAGCAGGTACAGTTGTGACTGTGAAGAATTTGTTCTTTATTACCATCACCATGTTTTGGTCCTATGTACATCTGAAACTGCATAGGGTAGGATTCATCCTTAGTTTTCTGTCTGTGCTCAAACCATGGAGACAGCTGGTTCTATCTTGTGGTGAAAGGTATATGGGAGCAACTGCTCATCTTATGGCTGATTCTCATGCTTTCCCAGCTTGTAAGCTATAAACATACTGGGTTTGGGAATAAGCCTTGGGTATACAAGTCTTGCTCCACTTTAATAGGCACTGGTGTTTAGATATGCAGGCAACCGTGTCGGTAGGTCCTTCTTTTATACATTAAAAAGAAAGTCCCCTCACCGTGAAGTCAACACCCAGACCAAACAGCTGGACCTAGAGACACCATATTCGGGGAAAGCACTCCTACCATGGCGTAGGTGCTCGCTAAGAAGGGATTTTTAGACATTTGACTCCTAAGTGGGTCAAATATGCTCCACCCATTGATTCCTATGCAGCTGGCATGGAGCTGCCTCTCTGCACCCCCCACTCTCTGATTGGTCAGCTGCAGAGCTCAGTGTTCTGAGGTAAAAAAAGCCAACAGTTACAGGGGACTGCAGACAGCTAATGACAGTTGAGGAAATCAGGAGTGGCCAAGAACCACCTGTGAGGTGAAGCAAAGCTGCTGGCCCAGTCTCTGATGGCTTCCAACACACTCCCCCAACTCCTACACCTAACAGGCGGTTGTCTGTCAGGTGCAGCCCCACCTCCACTGTGGCTTCTAATACTCATCACCCCCCTCCTACACTGGACAGGCAGGTGCCTGTCAGGTGTAGGAGAGGAGGTGGGATGCTTACAGCCACGAGGGAGGTTTGCTCAGTAGGATTGCCTTAGCACTGCTGCTGGCCCAGCCTCCCCGATGCCTTTAAATAAAATCCCCCCCCCCAACACCAGACAGGCCAGTGTCTGTCAGGTGTAGGAGCAGGGCCAGGGTATGAATGTTTATTGGGAGATAGTAAAGGACATTTCTAGGAGCCATTTTAATGCGTGCCTCCCTCATGAACCTGAACAAATGTCCACCATATCGCCACTCCCTCACACCAACTCCCCCTCACACTTCTCACCTCTTACTGTCCCCAAGAAAGCTCCTGGCAAACATTGAGCCAGATACACCAACGCTACAAGGAGGAGGCAACTTAGGAATGTGGCAAAGACATTTGCACACAGTACTCCTGCAGTGCACTGAGCTGCACAGCCCAAGTACCAGCAAGATCACCCTGAGGTGCTCAGAACCACACAGTCTCCATATGAGTAAAACAATCCAGGAACACAAGTAGAGAGGCCATCACTTTTGTGGAAGGTAGCAGGAGCTGACTTAACAGATGACTGCTTCTTAAATGGACAGTTCTATGTGGCCTACTCCAGAGTGAGCTCATCAAGCAGCCTGGTGATCCTAGCACCTGAGGGCAGAACCACCAATGTGGTCTAGAGAGAGGTCCTTCAGTAGAGAGAGAAAAGAGTACGTATGTCTCACTTCATTTCTTACACTACAATCTTCTCCATTAGAATTCCTACAACAAATGTCACATTTCAGATTTCACATAATCAGTATTATAACTGGATTTACGGAACTTAAATACCGTAGTGAAGCACGGGTAGCAGGCTAGTTTAAAATAATCTATTCATAAATAGACTAAATTATGGAGACCTGAAGGTCAAAGGCAGAAGTTGCTTTTGAGTACAGTCTATGTCCCATGGCATTTACAGATACTAGCCTTCAGAGATCCAAGAAGAAATTTAAAGCATAATGATGGTATCTGCTGGATGTTTAGCAGAATTTTAAAATACACACACACACACCAAATGTCTAGATCATTTTCCTATAAACTGATTTGACTACGGTTATTTCACAATTTCAGATGTTGAAATTTTTTTTGCCACCCATTTGCTATTACTCCTAACAAGTATCACAAAAGAAAAAATATTTCAGGCAGGAACATTAAGGCATTCATCAGATTATTCAGGATGAATGTTCTTCCTTCTATATGTAACAGTCTTGTATCGTGTGTTCAAATGTCCCATAGCATTTACAGATACTAGCCTTCAGAGATCCAAGAAGAAATTTAAAGCATAATGATGGTATCTGCCGGATGTTTAGCAGAATTTTAAAATACACACACACACACCAAATGTCTAGATCATTTTCCTATAAACTGATTTGACTACGGTTATTTCACAATTTCAGATGTTGAATTTTTTTTTGTCACCCATTTGCTATTACTCCTAACAAGTATCACAAAAGAAAAAATATTTCAGGCAGGAACATTAAGGCATTCATCAGATTATTCAGAATGAATGTTCTTCCTTCTATATGTAACAATCTTGTATCGTGTGTTCAAATGTTCACAGAACAAGCTTCAAAACATAAACTGAGGAATAGAGTTACTAATAAGCAACAGCCTAGCAAAATGTTTAACTTAAATCTTCGTTTTAAGTACTCACACTGTGCACAAGAACTCAATGAGACTACTCATAGCCTAAATATTTTAAATAATTCCTTGGGGGAGGGATGGAAGCAAAGGAGTACAGCACAAAAATGTATAGAATTTATGACAACTCAGCACAAAAGTAATGAACCTAGCATTAAACAGCAAAGACAGTTAAAAGGTTGTTAATTAATCACTTGGCACAGCTGAGGGAAGCAGAGCTACACATAAAGCTGTAGTATCCTTCAACCAGAGGTGTACTGCACAGGGTAAGATTTCTTGAATATGTGGTTATGGTACAATGGTTAAGATCAGTGGACTCTAATCTGGAGAACCGGGTTTGGTTTCCCACTCCTCTGCATGAAGCCTGCTGGGTGACCTTGGGCCAGGCAGTTCTTCCTCTCTCTCTCTCCGCCCCACCTACCTCACAAGGTGCCTGCTGTGGGGAGAGGAAGGGAAAGGCAATTATAAGCTGCTTTGAGACTCCTTAAGGTAGAGAAAAGTGTGGCATAAAATCCACCCTCCTTCCTCTTGTCTTTAAATCCTGCACATTCTTGACAACTCAGAAGATAAACAATGGTTATCCACATGAGCTTGTGCGCTTTCTCCATTAATGCTGCAGATACAGTGCAGCAGCAATGGGATGGCAGGTCTTCTCCCACTTTCCCTGACCCAGTCCCCTTCAACAGACATCCCCCCTCCCCTCACATCACTAAGAGGCTTTTTTATTTTAAGCTGGCAGCTGACATGCTATGATATTAGAATGAACTATTAATTTCTCTGAATGCCCAAAGAACATTTTAAAAAGTCTCTAGCCCAATGATCCCCAACATGGTGCCTACTTCCTTCTTCTGCAAATCAACTGTTTCCCTAATCAAAGAGCCAATGTTGACTTTCCTCCACCTCACTGGAACAGAAGGCACTTCAGGAGACGCAAGGAAGAATGACCTTTATGTCTGGCAGGGAAGACCTATTTGGAAACAGTGAGAAGACACTTAAAACCTCTCAACACTCTGTGATTTGCAGCATGCCAGCCACTTTATGGCAGCGCTCACTGATTGGTTTCAAAATCCAAAAGCACCCACAAGCTCAACAAGGTTGGGAGCCACTGGTCTATCTCCTTTTCTCCTTTTCATTGTGCAGATATAAGGTGAAAAACAAACCAGGATCACAGGGTAAACGCTTAATAACAAGCTATCACTAAGATTTATGGCTACCGTGTTTTATAATTAATAAAAATACAAATGGTCCTTACACATTACACAGAAAAATATCACAACTAATAATGTGATCCTATATCACAAAATTTAGAAAAGTCCCATCCTAGTGATATTGTAGAACAGCTTCTGTAACGAGTTGTAGTAAGCTGATGAGCATCTAGATGTAAGCCTGTTTCGTAGTTGATCTTCCTCATAAGTTGTTCATAGTAGATCTTCCTCAGAAATTCTCTCCATCTTATTTACAACTCAACTTTAACAAGGATGGGACTTTTTTAAATTTTGTGATACAGGATCACATTATTAGTTGTGATACTTTTCTATGTAATGTGTAAGAACATAAAGGTGAAAGGTGTATCTCCACAATGAAAAGAACAAGAGACTTTTTTAAAAATGAAAGCTGGGAATTCAGAGAACCAGGCTGATCATTAGATCATTATAACACTATAATGATATGACACAACTGCTGATTTTAAAAAGGTCCCTTGTGGTGGGAGTGAACAACAGGACAGGGGAAAATGGCACTGATGGGAATGCCTGGATTGTCCCAGTCCTATTCACATTCACATCGGTGCCACTGTGCCTTTGGTGTACTCACTCCTAAAATACTGCAACAAAGCAGGTTGGGAAAGACAGAAAGATAAATGGGGAATAGGAATGGGCATAAACTAAAAAATGTGGTTCAGTTCATGGTGTGCTCCGTTTGCAACCCACAGACTGTCATGGACTTTTATCCACCTCGTGAACTGGTTCGGTTGGTGAGGTGACAGAACGCCCCCCCCCCGCGCCCGCATGCTAGAAACACTAAACTCACAGGAGATCTCCACCTGACTTTCCTCTACCTGGCCTCCAAGTTTGATGAGGACTGGATTTATGGGGTCCGAGTTATGCACCCCCCAAAAGGTGCCCCCAGGAAAGTGCTTTCTGGGGAAATGAGTCATTTCCCCAGAAAGCATTTTCCTGGGGGCACCTTCTGGGAGAGAGTAACTCAGACCCTGTAAGTTCAATCTTCACCAAATTTGGAGGGCAGGTAGAGGAGAGTCAGACGGGGATCCCCTGTGGCTCTGGTGTCTCTAGGTTACACAGGATCCATTCTATACACTCCTGAACCTGCGCCTGTCAAAATGACAGCTGACAAGTGGGAATTTTGACAGGCACAGGTTCAGGAGTGTATAGAAGGAATCCTGTGTAAGACAGAGACATCAAAGTCACAGGGGACCTCCCCCGGATGCTCCTCTACATGCTCTCCAAGTTGTTGCTTTGAAGTTATGTAAACACTTTGATTGAGCAGAGACTGTCTGTCTGGAAAGGTCTCCACTCATGGACTAGCATAAACAGCTTGAAAGTTTGCACTGGCTGACCTGCCATGAACCTGACTTCGCAAGCCATGAACCGGCTAAAATTTGTCATTCATTCATGTCCATTCCTAACGGGGAAAACATGGGAGGAGGACACCACAATGCTGTGGGGAAGCTGGATGAAACCTGCATACCAACAGCACTCAAGCTGGGCAAACAACTCATGTGTAAGTGACCTGCATCAATTTTCAAAGCTGAATGATGCCAATGTATGACTGCAGTATGCTTTGTTTGCTACTGATGAAAATACCAATATTACATTTTTAACGTTTTGGTTCATCAACAAACCTTCCTTACCGTGAGGATAAGCTATAGAAGTGGCACAGGTTTTGGAAGTAGCTGCAGCCATCATCATGCCAACGAAGTCCGATGCTTCTTTCACTGATTCATCCTCCTCATCCATAGCAGAAGCAGACTTGTATTCCAACAGCCTTCGTTTAATACTCTCATATATAACAAAGTGAATAACAGTCTCTGATATGCCTGCATAGGATGCAGACATACCTCTATAAAAACCTTTAAATCCATCTGACCGATAGACTCTGCGCACACATTCGAAAGCACTCATCCGCTTTTCCCCACGATTCCTGAAATAAAAGAGAAGCAAGTTCAACATATCAAATCATTCGTTATGTTTTTCCAGGTTTTGACACCATGCGTCACAGGAGCTGCCACAAACCTTTTAGGATGGCTGGTTAAATCAAAGTTTTCAAATGCTAGCATCTAGAAATGCATTTCAGGAATCTGAAGTTTCAGAGGGTACCCATGTTTGTTTGGAGTAGAAAAGCTAGATTTGAGTCCAGTAGCACCTTAGAGACCAACAAGATTTCAAGAGACAAATATCTTATGAAGGGAGCTCTGAATCTCGAAAGCTTATACCCAATAAATGTTGTTGGACTCGAGCAAAGGAGTATTACGGGAAAAAAGCAGAATGAAATTCAGACTGCACTGAAATCACTAACTAAATCAGTGAGCTTTCAGTAATGCCAAAACTTGGCATTAGTTCATTTTCCATTTAGTTACCCTGAGCCTCTGCTCCCACACTGCAGAGGAAGGGCATCACAATGCTGTGGGCAGGGGTCATTTCGTAGAAAAAGAGCTAGGGGAACTCATTAGCATAACTCATTAGCATATGCCACACCCCCTGACATCAGGGGCCCAGCGGTGGACCTGCAAGGCCAGCGGGAGTGCGAGGAAGCCCCGCCAAGGCCCTCCCTGGCTCCAGGCAGGCAGGGGTGGGGAGAGGCGGGGAGGAAGCAACTTACACTCCCTTTTCTCCTGCCTCCTCCTGGCTGAATGAGGGCTGGAAGCGGGGCGGCCGGAAGCAGGGGGCGGGGCTTCGTCATGTGCCCCGCCCCCCTGCACCTCACCCAGGGGAACTGCGTTCCCCTCCGAAATGACCTCTGGCTGTGGGAAAGCTGGATGAAACCCGCATACCAACAGCACTCAAGCTGGGCAAGCAACGCTTTCTAAACTCCCATCCACTCATACCTCTCTTATACCTGCGATACATTGATGACATTTTCATTGTCTGGAGTTGGACACATGGTAAAGAAGCCCTGGACTATATTCCATCAGGCATTCAATGACTTTCACCCCACCATCAACCTAACAATGAACCAATCTATGCAAGAAATTCATTTTCTGGACACTACTGTAAAAATACACAATGGATACACAGCTACTACCTTATACCAGAAACCTATTGACCAACCAACATACCTACATGCTTCCAGCTACCATTCTAAACATACCAAATGATCCACTGTATACAGCCAGGCTCTATGCTAGATGCATTTGCTCCAGTCCTACAGACAGAGATTCTCACCTTGAGGAATCTATAACAAACCCTTATGAAACTAAATTATCCACCGGATGAAGTCAAGAAATAGATTAACAAAGCCAGAATGGCACCCAGAGAAAATTTGTTGCAAGACAGGCCCCAAAGAGACAATAACAGAACACCATTACTGGTCACATACAGCTCTCAGCTCCAAACAGTTCAATGCATCATCAGTGACTTACAAACTCTACTGGATAATGACAGTTCTCTTTCACAAGTACTGGGGGACAAACCTTTTCTTGCACACAGACAGCCCCCCCAATCTCAAACAATCCCTTACCCACAATAATACAACATCTAATTTGGACATGGACACTGGTACCAGAGCTTGCAATAAACCCAGATGTCCAGCTGCCACGTACACCCAGACAACACAATCACTGAACCTAACATCATCAACTATACCATGTCAGGCTTATTCACATGCTCATCTTCTAACATCGTAAATGCCACTAAATGCCAATAATGCCCTTTGGTTCTCCACATAGGACAAACAGGTCAAACCCTATGCCAAAGGATAAATGGACACAAATCTGACATCAAGAATCTAAAGACTGAGAAACCTACAGGTGAACACTTCAACCTTTGAGGACATTCAATGGGTGACCTCCAAATAGCTGTTTTATTGCAAAGGAACTTCAGGAACAGACTAGAAAGGGAAATTGCTGAGTGACAAGTTATTAGAACACTCAGAACAATGGAAACCCCAGGACTTAACAGGATATTGGTTTCTTATCTCACTATATGTGCTAAGCTCCTTCAGCCCTTACATCTGTATTCTCACCAATCTTCCAAAAGGGCCATATGTTATCTTTAATTTTATTTGGAATAACAGATTAGATAGTAGATAAATAGATTAGAATGTATTTCTCTGGTTTGGGGACAAGGGAGATAACTCAACACAGCCAATCGCTCCACTTCAAAGAAGACGACTCTGTAAGGCCACCTCCATACTTGAGAGAAGACAGATGGAGTGTAATGGCAGGGTCTTAGTTAATTACTCTCAGCATTCCACAATTAAGGATACATCTGCCCATCATTTTCCAATTTTGACATATTTATTTCCTTTACTAAGTTTCCCCTGGAATTAAACCCAAACAAATGGTAACCATATATTCCTGTTTGGTCCTTGAATTTGTTAAAAATCTTCATTATGCTGTATGCTAATTTATTGTTCACCCTCTACCTATGTGTATGGACTTGTAATCTCCATTTCATTGTATCTGAAGAAGTGTGCATGCACACAAAAACTTATACTATGCATAAAACTTTGTTGGTCTTAAAAGGTGCCACTGGATACAAACTTTGTTATGAAACTACACATACAGCACAATCCTGAGGGAAAACCCGAAATGGCACAGAGATCAGGTGCTGTGCTGGTACATCACTGAGATGCGCTGGTGCAGTGGCTGCTGGCACTGCACTCTAGCCAGGTGCAGGTGTGGGAAGGCTGCAAAGCAATCCTGGTGCAAGTCGCTATGCCGGTAGGAAAAAGGGCAGACCCAGGAATGTGGCAGGAGTCAGCTGGCTCCCTAAGCTGCCCAGTGCGGGAATGTGCTCCCAACACAGAAACAGGTTATACCATCAAAAATCACAGTATAGTGCATAGACATCCATACAACAAGCCCTGCTTGCAGGGAAGGGCGGCCTAATAAATCCAACATAACAAACAAATAAATAAATAAAAAGACCAAGCACCCTCCCCCCTCAGAAAAGCCCCCCAGAGCACAGGATGCTAACTAGGGCCACAACTACTCCCTAAGTGGTGGCCAACCCCCCCCCCCAGCCCCACGTACCCCCCACCCGGGACACACCATAGTCCAGTAGGAAGGGCATGAGACTCTGTCTCAGAGGTCTCTGCCATGCACATGGAAAGCACACTCTGCTCAGTCACCGGTTCCTGCCTAGCTCCTGGAGCATCCTGTCTCAGGCAGCCTGCCTTTCCACTTGAGCCATGCCTATCTGAGCAATGGTCTCTGCTTGGCCCCACATGGCTGGTAGTGATGCCAGGGCCACGGTGGAGTGCCTAATGCTGGATAGTGTGCCTCCTTTGAACCTTGCCTCTTGGCCCTGTGGTTAGGATGTTGGTCTTGAGTGCGGAAGCTCTGAGTGCCTGGCCTCTGTCTTTTAAAAACTGCTTTTTAATGGAAGCATGTATGCAGAGAGGTGCATGTATTTCCTCCAGCAGAGTGTCCAGAGGGAACATACCAGCACAATTCTGCTTTTGTGCAGACACCCAGCCATCTCTGCGCTGGCAGCCCTCAGGATTGTGCTGATAATGTAACAGGATTACAAACAGTTTGTTCACAGTTTACATACACTGTTTGTGAGGCAAGTGAAAACCACAACTTGCTGGATTGGCTGTAACTGCCACAGAAGCAGAAGTAACCAGTTTACTCTCCATGCATGAGGGACTGCATGAGTGAACCTCTAGCTGCCTCAAGGTTTGTTCACATACTATCAAAACTATAATTTGCTGTTTTGCTTGAACCAATTCATTTACATTCTCCAAAATGGGTTTCTTACCTTGCTTCAAGTTGTAACCGTGTCTTTACTAGCCAAATTGGATTGGTGGCTGTGATTGCCGTAAAACCTAAACAAATATTTAAAAGAAAAGTTAGCCTTGCTAACATAAAAATAGTTTACTGAAAACAAAAATCTATACAATAAAATTATATGAATTGATGTGAACTTGCACTATATTAACTTATAAAAACTTTTACAAGTTTATTACTTTTCATTACTTTTACAGTTTACAAAGGCTATAAACTTTCATATTATTCAAATTAGTACTTCTATTAGAAATAAGTACACATAACTCATTTTTGCCAATTTATTCATACAAATCCTTTTTTGATACATTTCAGACAACAAGACAGAAACTAGGCCAATTGAATTTAAATGCACTTCAAATAAAAGAATTTTGCAAGTGAAACTAAAGCCTGTTAGAATAGTGTAGAACATTATCTGTGAATTTAATGTATTAATCAGAAATACAACTGGAGCATAAAGGAATATTAACTGAATAACTACTTAATATGGTACAGCTAAGAGAGATACTTTCCTATACATAAACACTCTAATACCAAACTACATGGTATAATTAAGTAGGCTGTTACATTAATTTTTCCAGTGAGTTCTATTTAGCGTTCAAAAGCAAGGATTGTTGTTTGGCCAGGAATATGTACGCGTACAGGCATACAACAGTAAGTTGTTAGAGTAACAGTACTGCAGCATATTTACTATGGACTAGTTAGTATCCAGACAACAATTATTCAATGTCTTGGTAAAATGAATAGCAACAGTATGATTGCTCTAGCACTTTTCAGATTAGACTATCTCTTCCTCAGGGCATGATCAAAGAAAACAGAACAGCAAAGTGGGAATGCAGGTTTAGGTAGCTGCAAAATTATATAAACACTGCATGTGTCAGACAACATGTCTACAGAATGGACCTGTGAGATCTGCAAGGCTTAAAGTACCCAAACTACTATTGTCACTTGTAAGACTGTACAAATCATGCTCCCTTCCTATAGGTAATGGAAACAAGGAGTTGGGGGTGAGTGTTTGCTACACTTTCAGCTACAACACAACAGAGCATAAGGCCACTTATTTGTGAATGCAACATAAACAATGAAGTATTATTTGCATACCAGTTTATTCTGGTCAGTCTCCATTGGCATTCACAAAGGAAAGAAACACTTGCACATATGAATGGCCAAAAGGTTCAAAAACAGAAATGCCAAAAGGATCTTAACTGTTTTAAACTTTGGTTAAAATAAAAGCTGGAAAATAAAAAGTTAAGCTTCTTGTCTTGTGTGTTCTTAAATAAGCGCACTTACCTGCAGTATTTAAACTACTGCAAAGTGCTTCAAGTTAATTAGTAATATGAATTTCACTCTCAAAATGCCCCATTACTTCCTTATTTAAGGCTATTATTGCCTTCATGCAGACTACCTATTCTAAGTATGAAAGTGTGATGCATAAAAGAGAACTCAAAATTTTTAATAGGCTAAAAGGGTAATGTTTTTTATTATTTCAAAAGGAACAACAGTATGTTTTATTTATCATTATTCTTAGGACATTTTTCTAGTTTAAACAATGTTTTCTGACTCCAATATAAAGAGGTTAAAATAAGCAGCAGGGCTATATAAACTTTCAAACTACTCACGTCCTGCACAGTTCTCCAATCAATCAACAACAAAAAGCTACAACTGTATTATATCAGGCCAGTCCCACTAGATTCAGCGGGGCCTTCCTTCCAAGCCTGGATAATGATCAGTGGACTATGCAAGGAAAAAATCTGATAAAAAGAAAAGGTCAAAATAATATGACTTGCCACTAATATTTTTCTTCTTTTATCATATTCGCCTGTCTGTATACTAATTAAGGATTTTCCCCCCTTATGGTCATAACGAACCAATCTTTTTTGTCCAGTTAGTCTTCTTTGGCTTTTGCCCATACCCAAGAAATTATAAAAAGGGGATTTGCTTAGAAATACTATAAACTGTGATTTTTCTCTAGGTATTTCAGCAGTAGCCAATGCTACTCAACAGAATACAGAATACTAATAGCTAAGGCCTGAGCACTATAATATTGTTTCTGAAGATTTTACTTATGAGTCCATGCTTCATATCCTTAAAGAATCAAAACCTTAAAGCATTTCTCATTTTCCATCTAAATGAAATTAAAACTGAAGTGGATCCAGCTATTGTATACTTCTGACAATGTAGATATGTAGCACTTATTTCAATGTAGGAAGAAACACTGAAACCAATACAACTTAGAAATGTTTAGCAGTGCTGCATCATGACCCATTTTGTTCAGTTTAAACTTGTTTTTACCATCAAGATATAACCAAAATTATAGTTTCTTAATAAGGTGATCCCTCCCACAAATTTAAAAGCAGTTTGGGGATTTGGAACAAGAAATGTAGAAGGAAGCATACACTAAACAGACAGCATGCACTACCAAAGCAAATTCTCTTTATGCAGCTGCTATGCCAATCCGGCAAAATGCTTTTAAACTCAATGAGCTTTAAGGGCAGTTTGGAGGTTCATCTGGAATACTACTCCCAGGAGTCTCCTACAATGGTTTATGTATGGATAGTGAGCACACTGGCAACTGGATCATACACTACAGCATACCTACAGTGTTTAAAATTAGGACTGATCTCCGAATATTTCTATTAATTTGAAAATATTTTAGGCCTTAATATATTCTGTAGCAAAACAAAATAAAACAGCTAAGATCCCAGGTGTGTATCTGTATTGTCAAAGAAGATCATAACAGCTGTGTTTTCCAAGAGAAAATGTGATGGATAAATGCACATGAATATGTCATGTCAAATAATACTATAAAAAAAGAAGAAGAAAAAGACTATGGCAACAAACATAGTTAACTGCATATTAAGTGCAGTTCTGAAATACTTTGCCAAAATAAAAATCCTGCAAACTGTCAACAAGTGATCTAATTCATCAACTAAGCTAAACACACTGCAGTGGTCTGTGAAAGGCATTTTTGACCTTTCCCCCAACGGTATTGAGAAATAATTCGGTGATGTTTTAGAACAATGTAAACAATTTGAATTCAGTTGTAAAGATTCCCCTTACGTTGGTTGCTTAATAGCGATTACAAACCCACAGTGTGGTTCTTACGCTAGAGGCTGCAAGAGACGCTCAGTTCAGTACTCACGAGGTTTAAGTTAGTCCATATTTCTGCAGGAAGTGACCTGCGGATGGGGAGCATGAGATGACACGATCTCACTCTTTTCACGGGAGAAATGTACAGTAAATGCCTAAAATAGACACAGGCTTTTCTGTATCATAACAACAAGCAGTGACCTCATCAGACACATGTGATAAAACTGAATCCCCAATGGAAGGTTTTGTGAATCAGTAACTGTGAGATCTAACTTTTAAAAGTTTAGAACAAAAAAGGAAAAATAATAATACAGGCCACAGGTATTTTTTAAAGGTTTTGTAAAATGCACTGAGTACTGAAATTTCTGCCATTTGCAGCAGTTTAACCATTCAATTTACACCTTGCAAGATACTTACCTGTGTATTTTTTTTTGAAGAGGCCTAAAACACTTATTTTTTTTAAAATGCTAACCTTGTCACAATTAAGCAGAAAAACAACACTTTAATATTAGGCGTTTTGCACACGCCATCACAATTTTGACAATTTTATACACGAGAAAGACAGACCAAATCATAATATTGAACTATGCTAGTGTTTTCCTTCCTTCGTTCAAAGTGGGCTAAGAAGATACTTAATGGAGAGCAGAAAAAATATATAGCTCAATGGAACATCTTTCACAAACGTTTAAATCTGACAAGCAATACTTTGGTGCTATCCAAAATATATCGAATCGCTTACAAGATGAAAAGACCACAGTGCTGCTGTAGATCACAGAATGTTCACAGTGACATACATTTGTTATAGGTGATGGAAGAACTGAGTTTCCTAGGTCACATCACCTTCCAACTACATCTAGTATCCATCACCATGAGCACACAGGAAAGGGTCACTGGTATTCATTCTAAATCAGTCACTTTCTGTCTTTCTTTGTTTTCTGCTGGTGTGGAGTTCACATTATATTAAGTAATCACAATCCCTCTAATGCCAACAAAAGAAAGAAAGCAGACTGAAGTGCCCTTTCCTTTATGCACCCAGACTACAGATCTCATTGACCTGAACTGGGTTTCTCTGTGCACACCATAGATGGAGGGCTCTTGCCACTGAGAAAGTAGATTCCTATGGGAATCACCTCTACCATGCAAAGGAGAAACAAATTCTAAAAATACAAATGAATAAGATTGTGTTGATTTCTATGTAAGTGAAATATATTTTGCAGTGCCAGATTGGGGTCTCAGAAGCCCCAAACGCTTCCTTGCCAACCTTGTTTGAAACTTAGGACTTAAGCTTAATTTTCCTACTTATAGGGCGGGGTATAAATCCTAATAAATAAATAAATAAACAACTGCAGCATCTAAATAAGAACCTTTAACTCCAGATCTTGTTCTGGAAGAACTATCTGGGTTGTGATACACCCCCTGGGTCAATAAGAAAAAGACAAGGGGAAGGAGTTCAATATGCACAAAAAGTACTTTTGAGAACTGTGTGTGCAGTTCTGGCTGGCACATGCATCAAACTCCTAAAGGCAGAATTTTGGGAAACTACCTGCCTGATGCATCACAACTTTGCTAAACCCAGCTAACATCACTTATAGGAACTGGCTAGAACCAGGTTTTACTATTACATATCAAGGATGTATTGCTGTTCTTACAAGGCAACATCAAGTCACATCTTGGGAAATGAGAGAATGATGAAATAAGCAAGTGGCTGCGTACAAGTTGGGCTTCGCAACAGTGCCCTTCTTGCTGGATCTGGATGGCCACTGTGCACTGTTCTACTCAATATGCTTCCAGATAGGAGGGAGATTCAGTGACCCTCCCACCCAGTAGGGTATGTCTGAAACTGCTGTGGCATAGGGTGGCCCTCTTAACAGGACACAATAAAAAGCTGATCTGTGCATGGAAGGGTTGCACTGCACCCATTATCCTGAGGGCCAAACCACACAATCCAATTTTTAATGAGCTGTGTCCATGTTCCCAGTATCCCATGCAGCTCCAAAATGGGGTAACTCCCCTGGGGGCCACTTCAGCTTGGCATAATGGCAGTAGAAGGAGGCAGACCCCCTTCCAGTGCATCACAGTCTTGAGCTGAATTGGGCCCAGCAGATTTTTAAAAAGTGTTTCATGCAGCTGCTATGAGGCTGCTGGGAAAATGAGTTGACTTATTAAAAACTGTATTATGGAGACTATTTTAGAAAGTCTGGCTAATCATAATGATTTATTATTATAAAATTCATAGAATGGCTGACAAAATACTTAACTCACTTGAGAAACTAAAAGGCAACAAAAAGAAAACACAAAGAATAGTATGTGTATTTAAATGTTCACACTTTCACAATTTTCTTGGTTTTTAAAAAGGCTAGTACCGGTATAGTTATTTGAAATTTTTAAAAGTACTTGAAAAAGTACCTTCATAGCAGAATATGAGTACAATAATAGTATTTTCCCCTGGAATAATTCAAATATCTGGCTGAAACGGACATTAATAAAGTAATCATAACCCATATTAAAAGGTTTCCAAAAATTAAATGATTTTAGAAAGCTTATTCTGTCTAAGAACTCAATACTCTGTTTCATAACATGTCACTGTGTTCTTGATTTTTCAAATAACTGAATTATAAGCCAATACAAACACTGCATATAGAAATATTAATAGTTTATTTTAGTGCATTCAATAAAATACTTTAGAAGCAGTTATAAAAATGACAAGGTTAGCATTTTCCCCACAAGCTATGTTAATGCCCCTCTACATTAGATGCACGGCTATGCAGCCAGCACTACAAATCAGTATTTTATTCATATTTAGTGAAATATCTAAAATGATGCCTACGGAAATTCTAGAGTGCAGCAAAGCTACGCTAGTTAGAGAAAAAAAATAGCTACCTTCAAAGCCAATCTGCATGGGGCACGCATTTTCACCAATCATTTGGTTTAGGTGCATAACTGCAAAGCTGAACATTAATGCTCATCAGCACAGCATAAGCCCCTGAGCAGGATAATTTTAAGTAGTGAGAACGAAGTCACAGAATTGCATACCCAATACCAAAAATGTATCAAAATATAAATATGTCACAAAGAGATAACTTTTTAGCATTTTTAGGGCTGAGTGGTAAAGGTGATAACAAAATGTAAGATCTTCAACACAGGGCTTAAATGTTTCACCATTATAGGCACTATGGCTAAACCAGCAATTGAGTTTTCATGTAGATATGAAGCTTGACAACAAGCCAGTAAATTCACATCTTCATGAACTTGGGCAAAGTTGCACATCCACAGACAGCCTGATAGAAAGCAACAGACTTTTACACTAATTTTGAACAACCATTTTTGTGAAATGTGTAAGAAACACATAGAAATAGATCTTCAGTTTTTAAAAAAAGATTACTAATCCATTTCCATGTCTTCAGCTCTTTGTCAAGAGAAATAATATTTCTTTAAAATTCTCTGAGGAAAAAAAAACACAGGTAATAGAACAGCCTTTTATATTCAACAAAGTCTCTGAAGCAGTTAATTGACTGAGATGCAATATTAAATGATTTCCCACCCACCATGACTCCCTCCCTCCACTATGAATTCCTTCATTTGAGTATAAAGTCATAAGGCCACTTTAACACCTAACCCAATTCTTCCACATCATTCTCCCACACCAGATGAACAGCTCTAACCACAACAGTCAATTATCGCTTCAGGACACAGTTTCCTCTATCTTTATTCAGTTGCTCTAACATTTTCAATAAGAAGCAGTGACAGAACATCCTTCCAGGACAAGCTAGGCTCTGAATTACTGCTCATTTTAGCATTCTTTTGCCAAACTGTTTTGATTGGATTAGACTATATGCTGTATAGACAAAATGCAGTAGGGAACTTCAGAGTATCAAGGTCCTTCTGTTCCTGCTCAGACCTTTCTTTTGATGATCAGAGAGACTAAAACACTCTCTAAAGTATGTCAAGATTTTATTATGTCGAGTGGAATAATACAAAAAGAAGCTACATTTGGGAGCAATCCTAAACAGGCTACTCAGAAGTAAGTTCCATTTTCTTCCATGGGGCTTCCTCCTAGGAAAGTCTTATTTGAATTACAGCCTTCAACTACCAGCTGAATTATTTACTCAGTAGATATTTAAGACTGCAATCCTCTGCAGAATTACTTGGTAGTAACCCACACTGAATTTAATGGGAATTATTTCTGAGTATATGTCATAGAAGCATGCTATATATGATGTTCTTATTCTATCTCATCCTTTCTTCAACAAAATTGCTCTTCAGAAAGGTGAATGTACTTGCTTTTTTACTCCTTATCATAACCAAACAAGTCTAGATTACCTAATTCTACAGCCACCTCTATAAATTACAGCAAGGGATGTACGGACAAGAAACATTACTAAATTTGATGGCACGTTTCAGAAAATCCAAAACAGAAGGCACAACATAGTAAAAATTCTTATAAATAAATGAGCAGGAAATACTAGTCAGAGCTTCTTCATTTATTTTGTTTACTGCATAGCAAACTGGACACTGCCTACTCTAGCCGCTCACCTAGATTTATGAGGAAAACAGACAGATCTCCATAAACACATAAAACCGGCTTTATGCTTTCATTCTCAAGCAAACTTTCATACACAGAGCTTCAGGCCAGAGAGCCACCTGCACAGCCTTCCTGTATTACTACTCTAAAGCAATCATTCTCCTTAGTGCTGCAGTCTTCAACTCACCATCCCCACTCAATCATTAAGAGGCTTTTCAGATAATAGCAGCAGAAAGTTACAGATCCTTACCTGCCACTCCAGCTGAGGTCATGTGTACTTTGGTAGAGTCTGGCTCAAAAATATTATTCAATGTTTCTTTGCAGTTGGAGTAAGCAGCAAAATATATTGCTCTAAAAATCAAAATGGGATCCAAGGTGAATTTTTGTTATAATGTTTAACACTACCACACTATAGCTTTAGTTGTACGGTGAGCAAACAGTAACAGCAGGGATTTCAGTATTAAGCAGATTGCCTAAAGGAGGAGATAAATTCAGCTGGCCTATATAGATCTAAGCTCTCAGATATGAAAAATACACACAGAAGACAAACATATTGTTCCCAGCAAAAGAATAAAACACCTCTAACCATTCAGGTAATTCTGCATGGAACCTCAGTGAATGCTCCCCCCCCCTCCCAAATCTGTGAATTTCTGCCTCGACATTTCAACTAGGGATGGGCACAAACCACATTTCTGTGGTTCAGTTTGTGGCTGAACCAAAAGCCAAAACCACGAACCCATATGAACCGGGCAACTGGTTTGTGAATCAACCCTGTTTGTATCAGTTTGCGAGCCATTTTAAGTTTAAAACCCTGCTCCCTGGGGCTTTTCAAGGGGAGCAGAAAGCAGGGGTTTCCAAACAGCTGAGTGGCGAGAAGCTCCACACCACTCAGCTGTTTTTCATGTTTTCAGGTAAACCCCTGCTTTCTGCTGTTCACAAACCGCCACAAAATTTGTGGAAGTTCATGGCAGTTCTTTACTTCATGAACATTGCTTTACGAACCACAAATCGGCCAAAATTCATGACAAACTTTAGTTTGTCAGCCAGTTCATGCCCATGTCTAATCTCAACCAAGCCTACCATTACAGACAAGTTTCATCACAATTTGCTGATAAAAGGCTATAGTGGGCCTAATGCTTGTTGTTGAAAAGACACAGTTAAGCTGTCTTTTACTTCATAGCTGAATGTTCCTGCCTTCCCAACCCACGAAACAGTTGGGCTTTAACTCTGATGAAAGTGGCTGCAGATCTGTAAAACTGTCAGATTTCATCCAGTTTCCAAATCCTTTAAGAGCTCCAAGACAGAACAATGTTTAGCTGATAACATTTTATCTATTGTGGCAGGGTATGGCATAAGAAAAGCAATACATGAGGTGCTTGCTCCTTTCCAGATGATTGAGGAGCCGGAGCCCCACCCATTTCACCAGTATGAAGAAAGTAAAGCTGGATACAAGTCACAAGACCTAGGCTAACTTAACACTCTACTTTAGCTGGTACTATACAACTTACAGCCACTTGCTACAGTTCAGAGGCATAAGAACCAGTATGGGGGAGCCGCAACGACTTGCAGGGAGCATTTTGTTTCCCCTCCCCCACTATTTCCTCCTGTGGGCCAGTTTGGTGTAGTGGTTAAGTGCGCGGACTCTAATCTGGGAGAAACAGCAGCTGCTGGATGACCTTGTGCAAGCCATAGTTCTCTCATAGCTGTCCTTGAAAAGGCAGTTCTTGAAAGAGCTCTCTCAGCACCACCTACCTCACAGGGTGTCTGTTGTGGGGAAGGGAAAGGAGTTTGTAAGCCAAGTGAAGGGCGGGGTATAAATCCAATCTTTTGTTCTCTTCTTCTTCCTTCCCTCCCTGAAAGTCTCCACAGCCTCTCCTCTTTTCCTGTTTCCTTCTTTCCTTCCCACCCACCAGCCAATCCTGTGCCTTCAGCTTTCCCTCCCACTGACTGCTTCTACCTGGGAAAACCATGGCTCAGCTGTATGATGCCAGTGGGCAGGCCAGGTTGCATGACAGGAAACCCTCAAGGACCTGTGAGAGACCCTCACTTTCCCCTGTATCCCCTTCCCTATAATATTTCCCCTTCCTGGTAGCCCCCAAATCCTCAACCTATTTTCTCCTCCCCACCCACCCAACAAGCAAGCAACTTTTTATCTGCCCACATCTTCAGAAGTACTGTTTCTTCATTTATAGTTCAACTTTCTCCACAATGGGGACCCAAAGCAGCTTATATCATTCTCCTCTCCCCATTTTATTCTCTTAATAACCCTGTGAGATAGGTTAGCCTAAGACTGTGTGGCAAGCCCAAGGTCACCCGGTGAGCTTCAAGGGAGAGTGGGAATTTAAACCCGGGTCTCCCAAGATTATAGTCTGACACTCCAATCACTATTGCCAGTTTGACGTAGTGGTAAAAAGCACGGACTCTAATCTGAGAGAACTGGGTTTGATTCCCCACTCCTCCACTTGCAGTTGCTGGATGACCTTGGGCAACCCATAGTTCTCTAAGAGCTGTTCTCTCAAGAACAATTCTGAAAAGAGCTCTCTCAGCTCCGCCTACCTCACAGGGTGTGTATTGTGGGGAGGGGGAGGTAAAGGAGTTTGTAAGCCGCTCTGAGACTCTGAGTGAAGGGCGGGGTATAAATCCAATCTCTTCTTCTGCTTCTGTTATACCAGACTGAAGGTTATACCAGACTGAAGGTAGCTGCTGTTGAGCAGTATCAAGCTACCAGCCTTGGGTAAGTCATGCAATTTGCCCAGTGGTTGCAGATGGACCTGGCCTTGACGAGTCTTCCCTCAAAAAAGCCATTAAAGAGCCTTCCCCCCTGTCTTTTACTGGCAGAAAACGAGGCTGGTAACACGATTGTGGTTGCCTTGCCCATGGCCACTGAGAACATTTCTTAAAGCTACAGGTATTGTTTCTATGGGGCAAGTGATGCTCTGTCTTCTTGGTGCTTGGGGGGGGCAACAATGGGAGGGCTTCTAATGTCCTGGCCCCACTGGTGGACCTCCTGGTGGCACCTGGTATTTTTGGCCACTGTGGGACAGAGTGTTGGACTAGATGGGCCTTTGGCCTGATCCAACACTGGCGTCTCTTATGTTCTTATTATTTAGGGGGATTAACCAACCAACACTTTTTTTGTTTTTCAGACTTCTCTGCAACCTGCATCCCCACCCCCAGGTTTGTAGAAATATCTGTCTTGCCTGTTCATGGCTCCACTTTCTGTATTTAAGTATCTAAAGATTTGGTCATGCTATGAATCAGATATATTGGCGCAGAACCTCAGTTGTTCAAATGTCTTATCAATCTTCTTCACTATTTGGACACAAGAGACAACAGGAACCACTAAGCAGAACAAACTCATCATGCTGGTAGTAGACATAACTATGCAGTGCTTTGATGTTGGAGGCCAGGATTTAGCACGGTAGTGGTAGAAAGTGCTGTCAAGTCACAGCTGACTTATGGCGACACCATGGGGGTTTTTAAGACAAGAGATGTTCCAAGGTGGTTTTTGCCATTGCCTGCCTAACCCTAACCCACAACCCTGATATTCCTTGGAGGTCTCCCATCTAGCTATTAGTCAGGACCAACCCTGCTTAGCTTCTGAGCTCTGACAAGATTGGGCTACCCTGGGCTACCCAGGATTTAACATTCCATGTGCTCAAGAGAATCTGGCATGTTTCTCAAACAGCAGATTCCAGTGCTGCAAGTGAAAAAAATCTTTGAAATCGAAGATTTGCAAAAGCAGTTTGTGATCTGGCATGGAATGTCAACTATTCAAAGAAAGCAATCAAAACTGCCTTTGGCCATACCTCACCCCTTCAGAAACACCTAAATTAGATCTCTTGATCCTAGCCTAACATACCACTGTTCTATTTTACTTCTTAACTATTACTAAATGTATATTAAATGCACCGAAATATTAAATCATTACAGCAAACACGCTGCATTACTCACAAATTAGTGGCAAAGGTATTATGTAACTATTAAAAACACCATAGAACAGTTACTCATAAACCTGCCACAAGGGGGCAGGATGGAACATTTTCCTACTGTTTTTATTTATCAGGCACATTATTGGATTTTAGCAACTCTATGCTATTCTATTTAACTTACATTATCCTTTAAAATAATGCTAAAACATAGTTATTAAATACAAAGCAATAGAATATTTTGTACTCCTGCAAGATTACATCAAGTGTATTTAAAACTATCACCTTCTTAAAGTTTAACTAAAGCATATAATCAGCAGAGGCTGTGGTTTGAGCAGCCTTCATAAAACCCTAAGTTAACATCATTAGCTCTGCAAACATGTGGCCTTTCACAAGGAAGTGATAAAGTAGTTGTTTTACGTGGTATAATTAGTAAAATGGGATCTAAAACCTGTACTGTATGTGATATATGTTACAAAACTATCCTCCCTCAAGCTTATTCAAACAGAGAGATGCTGTTAAAGCTATTTAGCAAGTGTTCAAATGAAACACCAACATATTTGTCTAGGGTTGATGACTGGGAAAAGTGTAATGCTCATTCACATTACAGAAAACATTACCAAATGGACAAGCCTTGCATGAAAATTGGAGGAAGATATACCACAGTCAGGCCTTATGGACAGGATGGAAAAGAGGTAGAAATAAAGCATTTCTTCCAGGCTAACACGTGAGAATAATTTTACAAGGAAACTAAGAATAATTCTCACCTTTTTCTGTATAATGCCTTGTTTAACTATCCCGGTTTTGTTTTCTTAAACATATTTCAGCCAATACTATCCCTGTTTAAGGTTTTTATTGTCCCATGCCAAGCTTTTAAGGCTTTTACTGTCCCATGCCTTGCTTTTAATTATATTATGTGCAATAGAAGACAGAGTCTAACAATTAATTGAAAACATTTAATGTGGAAAAAACTATCCTTGGTCTACAGAGGAATGAGGAAAAGGAAGAAAATGGTTTAGCCTTCAAGCACTTGCCATGTATTATCTGAGCTGCAACTCTGTATTTTATTTTGCAATCTAGAAACCTAGGGCTGGACGTGGCAACCCATGGAGAGAAAGACTGAGGACCTTTCCCACATTCTCCTCAACCTAAGCTGTCCTTTCTGGCTCTGGGGTTGTGGGACCTGTGTGGATTAACTGCCATGCAGAGTCAGGCGCTCGACTGAGGATGAAGAAATGCCCTCTCCTCCCTCTTTAAGGTCTGCAGCTCCACTGAAAGAAGAGAAAGGAAGGGCCATTTCATTCTTCATTTAGCAAAAAAGGGGGCCCCAGTTACTTCATTTATACTCAGTCTTCCTCCCCCAATGTGGACCCAAAGCAGCTGACATCATTCTCCTCACTTCCATTTTATCCTCACAACAACCCTGTGGGGTAGGTTAGGCTGAGAGTGTGTGACTGGCCCAAGGTGACCCAGTAAGCTTTCATGGCAAAGTGGGAATTTGAACCTGGGTCTTCCAGAACCTAGTACAATACCCTAACTACAACACCACACTTTTCATAGGCTGAGTGACCTAAAGAGGGCCAGGATGGCATCTAGAAAGACACTGGAGGAAAGGTATGCTACAGAGCCCACCTTGGCAGTGGTGGTGGTGATAACGGCATTATTTTTCAGCTACCATTGTAAGGCTAGCTCATGACCCTCCCACTTGTTTAAGGTATCTCGATACCTGCTGGCTCCAAAATTCCAACTTTTACTGTCCCAGGAACAGACCACTAGCTGTGACACCTATGCAATTTTTTTGCTGATAAAATAACACAAGCACACTCTGATCTGGATGCCAGCTGTACTACAGGCCAAACAGAAGAAATGCTTAATACTTCATCTGGTCTGCTTACAGACTATTTTGACTCAGTTACCATGATGGATATTTACAGGATCCTGTGATCTGTGAAAGCTACCACTTGCACACTGGACTCTTGCCTATTGTGGCTGCTAAAATCATATAAGGACCACATCAATGAATCCCTAATAGCATAAATCAGTCAAAAATTCTGGGTACCTTCCCTGGACCACTCAGAGAGGTGGTTATCTGTCTACTGCTTAAAAAAAAATCCCTACAGAAAAATTATGTGACCAATTATCACACAGTCTCTGACCAACTCCAGTTCTTCTTGGATAATTCATGTGCCAGGCTATGGGAAAGTGACAGCTCTAGTGGCTTTAAGCTGATGACCTCCATCTGAATGTAGACAAATGCCTCACTTTTGATGGAGTTCAAATGACCCTAGCAGACTTGGTTAATAGCCTATGGGTTATACTGGATTCAGCACTGCTGCTGGAGAATAAGGCAAATAAAGATAAAAATACCTCACTTTTTTCAGTCTAGTGCGTTCAATAGCCCCCTGCTTTTGACATGGCTGATTGACAGTGGAATCCATGACATAGTAACATCAAGAACAGAGTACTGTAATGCACTCTTCATAGGTTTCTTCTCAAAGTCAACTCGCAGACTTCAGTTGGTGCAGAATGCTGTGCTTCAGATTTTTGCAGTCCACATCCAATTGGACTGTTTATTGGATGTCCCAGCCTGTTGATCATATTGACTGACACTGTGTAATGCACTCTGACTCTTAGTGAGAAAGGCAGACTATAAATAACATACATAAAAGAATAAATAAAAAAGTGGAAAGGGGGAGAACTGTGAAATTACTCTTACGCTTCTATGTTGAATGCACCTACAGGAAAAATATTACCTTCAAATCAAGTCTGTATCTAAAGACTTTCCTAATAAGACAGTAGATAGAGGATGCAAGTTGTACCTGATGGAATGAAGTATTTTATTTTGTGCAAAAAGGTGGCTGCAGTTAATTGAGAGGATAACAGGACTATAGCATGCCCAAACATACAACATGAAAGTGGCCATGCAGCCATGTGATTCATCTACAAAACAGCCGCTGCTTCCCATTTGTCTCTTTCGACGTTACAATGTAATGCTTCCCTCCTCCATTGTTCCTTCCACATACTAATGAATGTCTCCGGGAGGAGCGTGATAAATTGCAACAGAGTTCATTTCTTTTTTTATATATTTTTTGTATTTTTCATATGTGTTGATGTGTGCATGGGTGTGTGCACCTGGAAGTCATAGCAACCTCTGGTGATTGACCCATACTTGGGGCCTGGAGAATATTCAGAGAGGTGGCTGAATAAAGCCTGCTGGTATTCCAAGGAGGCCTCCCATCCAAGTACTTGCCAGAATCAACCCTGCTTAGCTTCCAAGATCTGACAAGATCAAGCTTACCTGGGCTATCCAGGTCAGGGCACAGAATTCATTTCTTAATTTCTCTTCTGGACTTTTGAGCATGAAACTAACTTTGGAGAGAACATTAAAATATTTAGGGCTGGCCACTGCCCTGCTTAGAAAATGAATACCAAGCTTAGCTTAGATGAGGCAGCTGTCTTTGGAAGATACATCTGTTATGATATGGGGGCTGGGTAATGCACACTACTAAGACGGCTCATATCAGAAGATACCATCTTCTGCCATTGCACAGGAGTGTGTCACTTGCTTCTAAGTAGGTTGAACTCAAAAGCTGGAAAAGACTCCAGGAGTGTTGTCACTGGTGGATATGTTATTGTTCATAACCCACTAGTAGTGAGTCTTGACCTGCCAATATGGCCAAAAGGACTCACAAGATGCATATACATTTGGCCATTTGTGCAACACAAATTAATACAATCTTCAAGCAATAGTCTCTCTCAAAGAGTGATTATACATTCACTTTTATAGCAAACCCTGGAAAGTGGCACCAGCACTCTATTTGTGGTAACAACTACATTCAACTATTGTTAATACAGACATACAAGTTGTTAAAATACATATATGAGTTACTCAACAGGAGTAAAAATTTCATAAGAAAAACACTGACAGCTTCTGCCTATCAAACAGAACAATGCCCTTGAAACAATTCCAGAAATGCCTTAATCAACTAAGTAACAATTTCTGTTGTTTACCTGGATGGAGCCACGCCTACCAAGTTAGGGCCTAGTCCTCGAAATAGTGAGCGAGGACCCTCCTTCTGTAAGATCATCCTGCAAAACAAACACACGTGTACACAATAAGATATGTACGCTGGAACTGAAGTTTTCTTTCAAAATCAGAGACGTCACTAGACCCATGAAATCTCACTTGCTGTCCTTCAGAATACTCACTATGTAAAAGCTAAATCAGGTATTATCATTCCCATGTGAAAGCAGTAAAATTATACTGCAGAATAGTCACACCAAAGTTAGCGTTAGGAGGTTATTTATCGTATGGCAGTTACACACAGGAAGCCTATAAAAATATAAAATATGTAACCAAGTAGTTACCCTGGTTATGCAGACAAATTGGCCAACCCCCCTAAATATTAATATCTAAATTTTCAAACCATTCAATCACAGCTGTGGAGAGTACAAAGAACTCAATCACATCTCCCTTGAAAGCATGATTCTCACATTCTGGTAGTTCGGCGGGCTGTATCACAATCGCATTTGGGTCCTAGTATTTTATCCCATTTAAACAACAAGTCTGCACAGCTACCAAAGCCTGTTTGTATTATATTAGCCAGCTCCCATACTTTATGTGGCAAGTCAAATCCTGCAGGCCTCTTCTTGGTGTTTATCAGGTTATGGATATTGGGTGGAACTGATTTCATCCATATTTGCAATCATTTCCTAGATCAAAATTTTGTGATTGCTGGATTTATGCAGATCTTATTGTTGGGTGTTGGGACTTTAGCCTGGCTAGGCCAGCATCAGCCATGGCTTTGTGGATGGGCAACTCTGTTTTCAATTATCTTTTATATTCATGAAGAAGAGCATCTTGTGTTTGGAGATGTGAGAGAGCAGTGTGGCACAACGTAGACAGCCAATAGGTCGAAGTGGGTTTAATTACATCTGCTGATGGCTCTCATTGTTGTATTGTGTTGGACATCAACTTTTTGGATATGGGGGCTGTTAAGGCACGCTGAAGGGCCGCAGTGGCTCAGGGGTTAAGATGCTGAGCTGCAGATCAGAAGGTCTGTAGTTTGAGACCATAGTGCCACGTGACGGAGTGAGCTCCCGTCTCTAGCCCCAGCTCCTGCCAACCTAGCAGTTTGAAAGCAAGAACCTGTGAGTAGATAAATAGGTACCGCTTTGGTGGGAAGGTAACAGCATTCAGTGCGCCTTGGTGTTTAGTCATGCTGGCCACATGACCACGGAAACGTCTTTGAACAGCACTGGCTCTTCAGCTTGGAAATGGAGATGAGCTCCACCCCCTAGAATCGGATTTAACTAGCTTTCGTGCAAGGGAACCTTTACCTTTACTTTTAGCCACACTGAAACACCCTATTCTGCAGTACTATACACCAACCCCAAAGCTGAGCACCTAAGTGTTGCAGCAGAAGCATCCCAAGTTGTACCACATAACTTTTTGGAGAATGTTGTTTTACATGCGTATTTTTGCTGCTACATTGGTAAGATGCTGTTTATAGCTCAAGGTCCCGTCCAGGGTAATGCCAAGGTACTTAGGTGTATGGATGTAAGTCGGGTGCTATTGAAGTAGCCATTCCGTTCATGGTTGGCAAGATTGTTATTGAGATGGAAACAGGAGCATTCTGTTTTTCCTGTACTTGGGAAGAGCTGCCATTTAAAGTAATAGTCAACCAAAATTTCAAGGGATCAACATTCAGTGTTGCAATTAAGTCTGGCTGTAGATCTGTGGCATCTATGTGACAGGAGCTGACAGCTCTAGGTGACTGAAGAGCTGGCTCTGACCGGTTCTGGCTGGTGTATGCCAGAGCTAATTAGCATGACTCGGCATTGGCCCTGATTGGCCAATGGATGTATAAGTACAGTGAGGTACTGTACAGTTTTTCTTCTTGTGAATATTGGTTGTCTGCGAAGCATTATGTCAGTCTGTGTAATTATTGGTGAAGGCTTTGTAAATAAACTGTAAATAGCTTTTACACAAGCCTTGAAGACTCCAGTCTTTATTGGATACCCTTGCACCCATGTTCGGTCTGCAGTGGGCTAGCACCACGCAATACCGACAGGGTTATGGGCCCAGTCCGCGGTTAGCTGAGCAGAGGACGTGTGGTGTGGAAGGAGTGAGTATCCAGGGCACTGAGACTGATTGGCCAATGGATGTATAAGTACAGTGAGGCACTGTACAGTTTTTCTTCTTGTGAATATTGGTTGTCTGCGAAGCATTATGTCAGTCTGTGTAATTATTGGTGAAGGCTTTGTAAATAAACTGTAAATAGCTTTTACACAAGCCTTGAAGACTCCAGTCTTTATTGGATACCCTTGCACCCGTGTTCGGTCTGCAGTGGGCTAGCACCGTGCAATACTGACACAAGGTACCTAGTCAGTATTTCTTCAGACCTTTCAATTGATTTGTGCCTTACTGCAATTGTCATGTCATCAGCATAAGCAAACTTCCTGGATAACATCTCAGGAACATCAGAGATATACAGAATGAAAAGAACTGGAGTGAGGACCAAGCTCTGGGGTAGACCGTTATTCAGTTTCTTCTGCTTGCTAATTGACTGACCCATAATTATTCGGAAAGTTCTATTGCTCAGCATGTTATTTAGGAGTCACAATAATGTTCAGCAATGTTCTGCAGAGGAAAACTTGTAAAAACCTGTATAGCAGACCATCCCTCCAGACTGTGTTGTAAGTGGCAGTCAGATCAGGAAAAGCTGTGACCCGTGGGCCAGATCCAGTCCCCCCCCCCCCGCCAGGGCTAGTAACCAGCCCACAAGCAACTGGCTCTCTTCTGCTTTCTTCCCCCTCTGTTCGGCTTCCGTCTCTGTCACAGCTTGCTTTGCCAGGCTCTCTCAATCGTGAAGGAGCTACAGAGCAAAGCCTCTCTTCCCTCCATTGGCTGAGGCTCCTCCCCATCCTCGTCCTCTGGGGAGGAAGAGAGGGGTAGACAGGGCAAGAGCCAGTTCCCTCAATTGCATGGGAGAGATAGAAAGCACTTTAAGACCAACAACATTTTATTCATGGTATGAGCTTTTTGGGGGGTGGGGGAAGAGAATTTTGTTGGGCTCATTATGCCAGGGCTCTCCTGGGTGCAACTGGGTTCCCCCTCCTATGTTTCACTGTATTCATGCCCTCATGATCCAGTCTCTCTCAGTGAGAAAGCAATGTGAACTATTTAGATGAGTAATAACAACAAGCCAGTGAGGTGGATTAGGCTGAGAGTGTGTGTCCAGACTAAGTTCACCCAACACATTTCCTTTGTAGACTGGGGATTTTGAACTTAGACTTCCCAGATAGTAGGTTGATACTACCTACTATACATTGCTATCTCTCTATTCTTGCACTACCTCATAGGAGCTGTAGTTATTTCTCTGGGGAAGACTGTAGTTTTGTAGACAAACACATCGCCCTCAGTCTGTGTCATGGTGCCTTCACATGTTCTTGACCAGCACACGAAGCAACTTATGTACAAAAGCTCACAATGCCCAGACATTTCATGTTTCCCCCTGAGTCTTAGGCTCAGAGCACTGACCATGAAATTTCTGTAACATCAATAAATCAAAAGTAGGTTTGCAACTTATAGATACACACCTGAACAACATAGTCAAGATTGGTACAGCACAGACATTGTCTCCAGATTTTGATGCAGTAATTCAGAGCAAGAGGTGTCAGCTACCAGACTGTTAAATAAACAAAATGTTGCAAAAGTCTAATTTTTAATCACATTTTATTTTAAATCTTTAGTTGTGTTTGTGTCCTTTATAGAGTTTGTATCTCCGCTATCTGCCATTACATTTTATGACACATGTATGTCATATACAGCCCTTGGTCTAGTGCTTATACAGGACAGTGACAATTGTTCTAGTGATTGTAATGTTTCTTTTACAATTCACATGAAAATGTTTGGAATTTCTGGAATATTTGTTTGGAACATTGCTTATTGAAAATACCTCAACAAAGGTGGCACAGTCTAGTGAGAAATGTTCCTCAGCCTCTGGAACAGTCAAATGGAATTGACAGTCTGTTATAAAAAGGCTGAGGGAATGCAGAATAAATCACCCTAATAACTAAGGTCAAGGAAAGCAGATACTGCCTCAAAATCTGAAATGAAACTGTATTACTTGTTGCTCTCAAAGTTATCAAGCTATGTTGCATTCTCTGGCTTTTACTGTGTTTTTGTACTGGCAATGTTTTTATTACAGAATTCCAAGAAAAATTAATTCTGAACTCGAAAAATGCGGAATCGTATGACTAAGCGCAAGTGCAGCAATCTCTTCCCTTTTCTCTAATAAAATATTCCCCTCTGACAGCTAATTTGTACTTTAGCTTAACCAAGCATTATTATCTGTTTTTGAAGAGAACAGGCCCAACCTGCCTTAAACTACTTTACCAGAATCACAGAATGTAAATTCATGGCAAAAATAAAATGCCAGTTGTTAAGAAACGGCCGCATTAGAAAGTGCTATTAATGGTAGACCATATTACACAGAAGAAAGTCAGCAGAGAATGTGTTTAGAGCTGGATTAGCTGAGGAAGGCCATACTGATAGTAATCATCCAGAATGTGGTTGAGCAATGCAAGAGTTCAGTCATAGACTTTAAAATACACAATCCTCATCAGGAACATCTTCAGAGCCAGTTCAAATGCCTTTAGATTCCAAGACAAACTTACAAGCTAATCAATATGGTGTAGTACACAGCACTATGCTTATCAATTCAGATAAAGAGCCCAATAAACGGAATGTTTTAAAAAGAGTATTTCTTGTTCAAACAGAAACACAGGTTAATGACACAAAGATTGAGCAATCAGCAAACACCAACTGTATAAAAGACTCCCGTTTGGAAAAGTTTAAACTGGTCGTTCTAAGCACATACATTCAGTTTAGTATAGAGCTTAAAAGACTTATTCTTGCCAGCAAGAGAAGAATAAAAGACTTGTCTTGTGACATTCTTTTATCACAGTACAAACCCAAAATTCAGGTTTGAAGCATGCCTTAATAAAAAGGTTTGCTTGTAAACCAATTGTTCCATGTGATTCTAACCATGTATAATCATGGTTGTAGAGTATGTTGTAGAGTGGCATTCTGAATTACAATGAATCTCAAACTAGTTTTCTAAGGAATCTGATACAATTTCAGTCTTAGAATTCCTGAATTACAATGAATCTCAAACTAGTTTTCTAAGGAATCTGATACAATTTCAGTCTTAGTTCTGGAATATGGTGTTCAACAACAGAGGGAAATAAGTTATGATCAAAAGATAGTAGTTTTCAGTTAATTTCATATGCTGGTTCAAAATTATAACCATGCAAGAAAGACTCCTTCATTTAGCCTACGAACTGCAAAATACAGGACGCATAATAGACATCCAGTGGATTCTACAACCAGAAAGACCTCTACTCAGACATCTACTCCGTGGAACAGTGAGGTACTTGTTACCTACCTCTTCTCAGTTCCTTGGACAAAGGCACCATTCAGATATAATGAACAACTTGTCTAAAGCTACCTAGAGTTCATAGCTTAGCCAAAATCCTCCCACCTTACGTCACTTAGCCATTACGCTTTACATAATTCTGAGGGCTTTTGGCTGGAATGATGGCTAACAAGTGTTACAAGTAAACTATAACATGGCTATGTGAACTAGTGGCTTGTGCGTAAAATTACTCTGTAAAAAGTGACTATTATTTTACTGTTGAAGTTGCTACAGATCAATTCTAAGACTCTTTGATAAAATGTTATTGATTAAACAAACGTGTAAGTATGTCTTTGCTGTTTTCTAAATCTCGTTTGGTTTGTGGTTTTGTATTGGAAACCCTAGATTCCACATCAAAAGTTGTAATTACTCCTCTGTGCCTCATCTAGATTAGCAGCAAAAAGAAGAAAAATCATGCTCAGTTCAAATTAGAAGAGGAGAAAATATTTGGATTTTTTTTTTTACAAACCCCACCATTGGGCACTGGTTGCGTCCTTCAAGTCTAGAACAGTGCTGGCAACATTTCTCTTGCACATAGCAATTAAGGCAGCGATCGGGAAGGAGAGAAAACTTTCAGGAAAAATCTTCCCTCTTATCTAGCAGTTACAGACTATACTTGAATCCTTTGAGAACTGGAGTGAGTTGAGCCACTCATTGAAGCCTATACGACCTGTCTTGTACTGCAAAGATAGAAAGTGACTAGCACTGTATACACCACTTGAATCAATCTGTGCACTCACTAAGGTAAACCCAACAACCTCTCATGACATTCTCTCTTCCTGGGTAGCACATCTGGTTTCTGTTAGGGAATGAGGTTCCTGTAGGTGCTCTCCATTGTGGAACAGCCTCCTGAAGTAATACATCAGATCCCAACACCAGCTGTCCTTTAGGGTGGTAAAATCTATAAACAGTTGAGGTTTGTGTTGGGTGAGGTTTTAATTTGTTTCCCATGCGTATATCTTAATTTACTTATGTATTTAAGTGTACTTATTGTTATTTAATTCATGTTGCTAGTCACTCAGAGTTTTCTTTGGAGGAGCAGGAAACAAATGTCTTAAATAAATTCTGATTACCCCCAACCATACCATCTGTATTATCCTAAATAAATTTGCAAAAACTGTGGGAGGACGGAGGAGAGGGGCAGGGGGGGGGGGGGGGGGGGGCCCTCCCTTAAAAAAAAAAAGCAACTACCACCAATTCAACTAAAAAAGTATCTCTCGCACTCCTCAGCTATGGTTTATTTTTCACAGAATTGAAGCACATTACTGGAAAAGCCCTTCTTGCCACTCCAATCTCAAATATTTCACAAGCAGAAGGCAGGAAGGAATGTGGAGCTGAGCAGGTATTTCATTCGTTTTTATCTGAAGGAGATGCTAGACCCAGTTATCTTCAAACAGCACAGATTTATTAGCTAGAGCTATAAAACAACCACCCCGGTTTGGAACACTGGACAAATATTTAGCCCTAGTTAATAGGGAATGTCAGCAACTTTTGGAGAAACAGACAAAGATTAATCTAAGATAGTGATACCCTGTGGCTCAAAAGCCACATGCGGTTCTTTGAGATGCAACTCGTGGCTTTCTTGAGCATCATCCCCCAATGTGGTACTTGCTCCATGTTCCAGGAAAATGGGCAAGCCTGGTAGGGCTTGCAGTTGCCCCCATGAAACACTGCAGGGACTGAAAGATGGGGTAAGCAGCAACCCTCCCTGAACTGTGGGCCAGGGATGGATATAAAGGGCCTATCAACCACCACCCCCATTCTTCTCTACAACCTGCAGGCTCTCATGCCAGCACCCAGGCACCTACTGGGAAGAAGATGAGCGGGGCACAGAGAAGAGCGACCAAAACCACCAGTACAGCAGCCACCCAGGAAAAGAGCAAGCTGGACACAGTGGGCTGGGGGCAATTATACTCCCTTTCTCCACAGCCAACTTGCTGTTCTCTGGTTGCCTTGGTAATCTCACTTTCTTGCCTAAACTACTGTGCCTCATGAGGAAGAGAGCAAAAAGGAAGACAAAGAAGTCCTTCCTCTCACTTCACAAGGCAGGCTAAGGCTCAAAAAGGATGGGGAGGGACAATGCTACAATACGGTATACAATATGGTATACACTACAATAGGTATACTGTAGTAGTGTGGCTCTTTTAGTTGATGGTGAATGTGGCTCTCTGTGACCCATGGCGTGAGTATCACTGTAGCAAATGACAGCCACAGAGGCAGCACTTACATCATATAGCAATGTAAGTTGATGTGCAGAAGGGAACACATCACTTTACTGTCACTTCACAGTAAAGAGCCAGTCTTGATTTCAGTATCCACTAAAAGAGATGAAGATGAATGGTTTGGGGCACACTGGTCAGCAGCTAGGATGACTCATCTTAGAGGAAGGAAGTTCTGCATGGATAATGAGCTGCATTTTATTTTCAAAGACCCTTGCCACCTTAAGCATCAGATATCTCAGACAAAAACTGTATGTGTGCTACTCACTTTAAACAGTGGAGAGGCCCCGGAGAAACTCTAGTTACACGATTAACGCTGGCACCATTCAAAGTGTTCAGATGAACTTCAGAGATATACAAGGTAACAGAGGAAGACTGCAATCGTGTTTTCACAACTTCTAGGGGACATGTCAGAATAGCGCCCACAGTGCCCCCACATCTGCAAAGAAGAAAAACAAGGCATGTAAGTAATTATAAAATGGCAAATTTGCATTCAGCTAACCATATACAACGTGATGTAAAATATTAATTTTATCATCTTTGCCTAGAACTTCTGCAAACAGCCAAAAAGTGGATGAAAATCACCCAGCTACGTTATGCATTTGACACTACCACTGTACTTCAATGATTAGAGACTGCAGCCCCACTGCAATATTAAGAACTCTCTGTTGACATCTCTTCTAAGTTTGCATTATTTAATGTTCATCCTTAATAACTTTGCAAGCTTGGACAAATCACTAAGATGCCCCCAATATGAAGATCATTTGTGTCATTTCAATCTTACATAAACTGATAAGTTAAATTTAAAGACTTCTTGCTACTGTAATATAAATATCACAACAGACGTGACCAGATAAGTAAAATATGCTGAACTTACTCTATACAATTATGGAAAGCCTAAGACCTTGATACCAAAAATGCCCTGTCTTAACAGACAGAAGCAATAGTTTGACAGTAGAGATAGAAGGATGTTTGGTATACCAAAGATGTGGACAGATTTACACAGCAGGCAGAGGGAGACATACAGCATCCCCCAAAAGAATGAGAGAGTACACAGAGGTCTGCATTTGAACAACTCTAGAACTTGGGAGGCCAGATGTTGCTTCTGTGAACAACTATCATTTTCAAGTCAAAACACCCAGCTGACTCAGAACAGATCACCAAGAGAGAACCCTAACAAAAGTACGTAACATTACACAACAGATCCAGGGAATAGCATTTCACAGTCCCAGGAAAGCAGCCATTAGGGTAAAACAGGCAGGGGTTTGCATTTAGAGACCCAAGGCAGGCAGTTGGGCAAACAATATGACTGCCTCCCCATCTCCTATATCTTCCACAGACAAAGTGGGTCATCCCCAACCCACATCTCATTTTTAGCCATCATTCCTTATATCTAACTCATTTTCAGACAGCAAATGAAACTGGGCCAATGAAAACACCGTGGAAAGACATACTGATGGAGGAGGTGCTTGTTGCAAGATGTTTTACAAAATGATTAGAAAAATTCCCTATCAGTTCATTCCCTCTTGACTGCTTCATCCTCCAAGTCTAAATACTGCTTGAAATCCCTAAATCAGACAGCTAGGCAAAAAGAAAATGAATATAAACTAATATTAACAAATAGCTGTTGGTTCAGTTTCATTATAATCACCACAATGACAAAGAGGACATTTTCATTTGACTCCCCCCCCCCCCAACATGCTACCTGCCAACACCTTCCCTGGCTTCTGCTAATTATTTTTTAAAAGAAAATGAGACTTTTGCCCTGCAAGGCTTCTGATCAGTCATTGGAGATATGACTGGCTGTGCAGACTTTTTAAAAGGTTGCTTTGACAGCAACTGCCTCCGCAACCCAAGGATCTTCACTGTGCGACTGAAGATAAGCTGTGTGTATGCAAATAAATATTTTTAATCAATATGTTCACTTTCAAAGTCATCTGATTAAATAGAACTTCTGCTTGAAATGTTGAGGAATTACTATTACTTGAAATGCTGAAAAATTACTAGTTATGCATGACCCCTCTCACACTGATATTTCGTGGCTTTGCCTCCTGCAGCAGCCATTCTGTAGTTGCACCCACCACCCAAGGCCTCCTGCAGCAGCCATTCTGTAGTTGCACCCACCACCCAAGGCAGCCACAGGCTCAAAAGGGCTGGGGAATTCTGAGTTAAAGTACTGCACACCTATTAATATTTAAGGCACCAGACAATGATAGGGCCACACTTAATTACTGACTTCCAAATTCTATACACTCCAGGGTTTTTCTCTGCTCCCATCCAATCATGTGAGGACTACACTTTTATTATTTACTCCCCTCAACAACTCTCTTAATCATCAGATTTCCAAGATGGCTAAACACGTGTCCCATGTTGTTACAACTGTAAACATGCTAGATCCTACACTGAACAAGTATAACCACTGTAACTCATAAAAATGCTTTGGTTTATTTTTAGTCTACGGTAGATGACAACAATGAGTGCACGATAAGAAACCGACAGTGCAATCACTAAAACTCTGTTTCAGTCATGAGCCAGCCAAACTTCAGCAGTCTCTAGAAGCCTACAAGTAAATGATTAGCAACACAGGCTACAGAAAGCCCATGATAATATATTTACGGTCAGCAGTTCAAGAGAAAGGTTAAATTGCTACCAAGACGCTAAGGGCCGGGGGCTTTGCTAACAGAGCTATATAATTTGTCCCAGCTGGCACAAAATAACTTGCCCATTACCAACCAGACTTTAATCTGTCTGTTGTGCATACACTCTGTAGCAATTTTCAAAGGACTGCCCTTCTCTGTGGTCCTCCATTGATTGATTCCTTTTTTGGAAGCTGTGCATGGAAGAATAATTTAATACATCTAGAGCAGCATGGAAGAATAATTTAATACACCTAGAGTTAAGTGGGTTCACATGAATGCACAGAAACACTTACAGAACAGATGAGAAAAAAAAGACATGCACAGGGCGCACAGCAACACTTACATTATCACCTTCTTGGTAATGGCACTATACTGTAAAGCACAGAACACTTACAGAACAGGTGAGAGCAAAAAAGACACGCACAGGTCGCACGGCAACACTTACGTTATCACCTTCTTGGTAATGGCACTATACTGCAATTTCACGGATCTTGAGGCAAAACTATTTAATACACCCACTCTTTTGTGCTACATCCTGTATGAACAACTATCTAGTATGCTAATACCCCTTCAGTTCTTCCAAAGGGTTCTCCCTTCTCTACTTTATTATCACAACAACCCCTGTGAAGTAGGAAAGGCTGAGAGCAGTGATCCAAAATCAGGCAGCAAACTTTGTGGCAGTGTGGGGTCTTGAACTCCAGACCCCGTTCTTATGCTCTAGCCACTATACCACACTCTCAGAATTTCAAAAGCCAAGCAGTAACCATGCAGAAAGGACTAAAAGTGGGAGCTTCCAATGTTTATGAAAATTATTTCAGATCAAAATACTTTGCATCATGAAAACTCTAACACAAAAGGCAGCAGCCGCAAATCAACAAAACAGGGCTGCTGGCAATTAGGGCCTTCCTGGCAGCTGCTCCTAAAATGTGGAAACGTCCTGCCCAGGACTTCATTAACCTCTCTCATTAGAAGTCTTCCAACATCACCTAAAATACTTAATCATGAAAGTTTTGAGTAGAATTTGATGTTATCCTTTATTTTGTGTACTGGTGGATTTCTTAAAATAGAATATCTTGCTTTTACCTTATTTGTTTTGAGCCTTGAGTGTGTTTATTTTGCAAAAACCTGTGCATAATAAATTATCTAAATAAAACAGAAATTTATATATGCAGCCCTTCATTTTAAATATTTAGCCTATATTAGAGTATAATCACCCAATGGTACCAAGGGCAGGAAGGGTGATCAAAAGTAAACAATCTAGAAGACAAACAGGCAAGTTCCAGACTCCCAGGTGCTGACATGCTTATTTATTAAAAGCAATACTTCCTCCCCCCCAAAAAACCTCCCCATGTTTCAAATGCTTTTCTCACACTCTTCAGCTCCTTACTCCAGAATTGATAAATGCAGTAGTTGTGACATATTTTATGATAAAGCAGAAGTGTTTTAGAACAGTTTTTGAAATAACTCTTATTTTACTGAGAAACTATCAGCAAATCCCCATGTCAAGGCATGTTCACATATTCCACATTATGGCACAAAATTTAAGATGCCTTTCACCATATACTAAAAAAAATGTAAGTTCTCCACATACTGAATTTGAACTGCTTTCAGTGAAATTATTTCAAAGTAAAGAGGCTTAGATTCACAGATAAAATGATCATTGTCTTAGATGGTTAAACAGTGAAATCAAGCACCACATGAAAATATTAACTAATCCCAAAAATGGACTTTTGATTTTTAATTCTCTACTGTCTTTTAAAAAGGTATTTTGCCTGTGCCCATACTAACACATAAGGTACTGGCCAATAAAAAAATTAAATATTTTAATGCTCAGCGATAAACATGACCTAAGAGAAACTTGCAACTAGATGAAAGGAGCCAGGAAGCATTCCAGCTAGGTTACAAAAATAGTTGGGATAGATAGCTCAGAGTTACTTTCATCCTGACCTACAATGTGACTGTATGCATTTTTTTCAGCTATGCTGCCCCAGAATAAGGGTCAGCAAGCCTAAAACCACTACTTTGAAAAGAAAAAAAAAAAGCTCTCTAAAGCTCCTTCTGTGCAATGTGAACTTTGACCAATTTCAAGACCTTGAAACAAACAGACATTCTAGCCCAAACCAATATCCCAAAGAGACAAAAAGGAAAATTACTAGCTTCAGAACCATGTCACTTGCTTCTGCTCCTGATCAGCTCTAGATAAATGAGCCCAGTCTTTATCTACAAGTAAAAAACTCTTCTGTGATAAGAGGTGCAGGAAGCCTGGTGGTAGAAACACACTGGGAGAAAAGCAGTTGTTGCACAGCCTTCTAACACATCACAGAGATTTGGGCAGGGAACACAGTAACCATACAAGATACAGAAGGCAAGGAAGCCAAGACACATTATGAGCTTGTGTGTGTTTGTGAAGAGACCACTGTGGAGAGGACGCATTCCTCAATTAGGAGCAAGCTAAAAGAAACTTGGACTTGCCCTCTTTTACGCAAGTTTAAAGGCCACTCTGATAAGCAGTTAGCTTTTTTATCGTCTATCTGACCAGAACCCTCATATCACTAATCATATAGCTAGGTATCTGGGAAATGACTAAACTTTGGGTTATTTCATTTTTCAGTCTTCTTTAAAGTTTATGATTGTTCATTTCTGTTATTTCTTGATGCTGTGTGATATAGTTATGGAATTTGTAATAAATCTAATAGAGATTTTTTACTTAACTCTTGGACAAAAGAACATTTTGGCACTGTCCACAGAACATTCAGCATCCTTTTTTCCACATTTATTTAAAAATAGTATCTACTAGAAA